AACTCAGCTTACACATAGGTGCCCTTTGTGGTGAATTTGGTTGAAATATACAGGGCCCTGGTTTACCTGGTGGTTCAATCAACTACCAGGGCCATCTATTTTCCCAAAAAGGACACCTACGGGCTTACACCTTACTGAGGTTCACTAAACAAGCGAGGCTTGTTGTAAATGCAGGGTTGCGGGGGATGACGGAGTTTAGCTTCCGAGCACGCCGGCCGGCCCACAATCACACACAAGTACGCTGAGCCGTTGAACACAGTTTTGTCAAGACAATTCGGGTCGCCAATTGGCAACCTTACCATGTTGATGCTTCTTCTGATGAGGCTCTGTAAGCAACTGGCGCGGGTACGTGGTTCACATCACACTTGGATTTGCAGCTTTTGCTTGGCCCCATTTGGCAGTTTAATAATTAGGTGCTTGTCAAAATTCGCAATCCTGCAATCCTGAAGGCTGTTTTAGACTTGCACAGGGTCACCTTTTGTTATTCTAGAGCACCAGTCTACCAGACGCACATGATTGCGCCTTCTCCCCATTTTTGCCTGAGCAAGCAACATGTATATCAGTATAAGCATTTTTTTGGAGACGTGGCCAGAAGTGTTGGACGCGACGTCGCCCTTGGGCGACGGCTTTTGAGGCTGCACAAGTGCCACACCGGGCAGCGGACCTTCCTTTGGCATGAGAGGCTGGGGCAAAAAGACCTGATTGGAAGCGGGCCAGGCGCAAGCCTCGGTTAAACCATTCGGGCGGCTCACGGCTCGTCTTTTTTCGGAGGGTAGCCCCCTTTTCAGGTGGTTTTAAAGGGCAACCAAAAGGATGGGTGACTAAGTCAGATGTATCAGCTCCCGGAAAGAGTGGCTGCTTGCGCTTTTTTTGAGTCGCCCCATGCTTAGTAGACGGCCGCAAATGTGGAAGTGAGCCGTCACCAGTCTTTCCTGAAGCTCTGAATTCGGAGGGTTGGCACGGCAGGAGCGAGTGATGGTGTTCACGGCTTAAACTGATTTGCCCATGAAAACTGGAGTACTTGGAGGCTACCGCGCGGCCAAGGTTTTGCAGGGTCCAGTGCCAGTTTTGGCAGCATGTTTGCAGAAAAGCCAGCCTCTCTCTTATTTGGTGAGGCAGTACCTTGCACATGCACTGGGGTGGGGGGGGGGGGCAATTGAGAAGCTTGTGTTTTATATCGGATCTCGACTTTGCGGAGCAAGCCGAGGATTTCATGTGTACATGACCTGGTGACTTGCCCACATGATGCACCTCAGCAGTATGCCTAGCACTTGGTCCAGCGTTGCTGGAATTTAGAATCTTCGCCTGGTATGCAAGTCTAGGTCCCCCAGTAGTGCCCGTCTCTGGGGGTGGCTTCCCCTACGAAAGTAGACGAAAAATGAAAAAGTTGGGACCCTTATTCCAACCTCTCTACTGGAGGACCTAGAAGTGCTCAGAGAGTCAAATGGTTGAGCGCCGAACCCTTTGCGGGCAGCAAGGAATGACATGAATCCTGGCCCAGGCTTGGGTCCTTCTTTGCCAACCTAGGCCAAAACATATCCTGTTCAACTCGCGGGAAACACCCAGCCAAAGGCCGACTTCTTGGAAATACCAAACCGAAAGGGCCGGCTGCACTTCTCTCAGCGGGTGGACTGTTTGGGGGCGAGGCTCTCGGTGCTGCAGCACGCAGCCAGCGGCCTTTCGCACCTCCACAACTCCACGCCCAAGGCCAGGACCGCGCCTTTGGTTTGTCGGGGAAGGACGGGACCGCAGTCGGGTGCGGTGGATTTGTTTGAAATTTGCTTACTCGGTGTTCCTTCGAAGCGGTATTTGCTTGGAATGGTGCTTCACCTTGTGCAGTTGCTGGTGGTGATTGGGGATCCTGTCATTAAGGTGTTATTGCGTGGGCAAGTTGGAGACTGGCTACGTGTCAAATTCACGGCCCATTCACGTGGTAGGTTTCCTTTTATTCAAAATTTGCTTTTTGTTGGGACAAGCCACAAGTGGGACTACAGCTGTGTGACAGGCGGCAGGCGGGCAACTGCCTAAGAGCGTGTCAAGTCACAGGATGGACCTCCTCGAAGCTTGTTGATGATCGATGCGGGAAAGCACCGCTCCAGTCCTCAGCTTCCATTTGCCTACGACGTTGCATTGTCCCCTGCTGGTCTTTACGGGAAGCTATCGCTACTAGAAACATGTCTTCTTTTCTAGGGGAGTTAAGCAATTGAATGAAACAAACTTGTGGACGATTTAACATATCCAGGCGTGAAGTCGGCGTTTTGGCGGTGTGCCACAGGGACATCGATAGAGCAGGTTCCGTTTTGCGCAGCAACTCGTGCTGTGGGGATTGGGCATGCAGTGTTTGCCCGGGCGAGGAGGGCATCGGCTGAAAATACCCAAGTCGCTCACGCAAGCTCTCGGAAGCTCTTCAAGATCCTCCTTCCACTTCCCGCAGTGGGCCACCAGAAACGTAAGTTGCCCGGTTGCCCGGTGCCAGGCCTTCCATCGCGACATCAAGTCCGCAGCGAGCCCAAACCGCACCGAGGTACCGAGGTGGTTTGGTTGCCGTCGGGCTAAGACAATCCCTGCATCGCCGCGCGAAAAATGGGTGTGGCTCAAAATTAAACAGGAGGGGTTACGCTGGTTTTGGTCCATGTTTCCACTTACCAGGGTTCCATTTTGGTACCGGTTTTTTGAGCCACAGCCAAATGGGACAATGATGAATTGAAGGCGGTCTCAACTCGTGCGAAGTTCTTGGATTCCAGTTTGGATAAGAGCTGGTAGCCAGAAAGGCGCGGCTGAGTGGAAGCATGCAGAATCAATCCCACAGAGTTCTTTTGTTTTGGAGGAGGGGCCTTTTGTGGGCGGGTAAGGGGTGCCTCTTTGAAGCCTACGTGTTTCTCTAGAGCAATTTGAGCGCAAAACTCCTCAGAAGCCGTCCCGTTCATGCCAGCTCGAACGCGGCTTGCAGGATGGCCCACGCCACAAATCGCAGACACTCCCCCGAAGACCTGTACAGCTAGGAGTCAGACATTTCAGCAGGGGACTTGAACAAATATATATATATATATATGCATATAATATACTACAAAATAATAGTTTACAATATATATATATAATATAATATATAGAGATATAGTAGACGCGTTTCTCTCACATACAGTTCGGGTTAATCCATCTGACGAATGGATTTGAGCATGGTCTGCATCACCTTTTGCATGTGCCTCATGGAGTATGGCTTGGCGGGGTAGCCTCGGCCGGCGGCTGTTTGCTACTTGGCTGCAAAAGCAGAGCGCTGGCCACGAGGAGGGTACTGGACTTTGGGTTTCCCGTGCTTGGGTTGAGGGTACTGACAAAAACCTCCAACAACCCGGACCACGATACCAAACATTTGGAGGGCCCAAATCATAAGCACGGGAAGGTTTCTCACAAAACACGTGGAAGACCGGCGGTGTATTGTGATGTCCGATTTTGAAGCTTTGCCAGCTCCTGCAAGCGCGTCAAGCATTCTCTGCAAACTCTAGTGGCAACGCAAACCTTCTTGTTCCCAAGCCTGGCTCACGTTGCAACGAGCTCGGATTTGCAGAAGCCGGATGGAGGATGCTGCTGGGGGGGAGGGGGCAAGCCGCAGAATTGCTCATCCCCTTGCTTTCGTTTGTCGCAGCTGGCTCGGCAAGTGCAACTGGACACGCTGAGTCGTGCTAGCTGGCGTCTCCTTGTCATGCATCTGGAGGACATGCCTGGAAACCCCCACCATGTCCAGAGCGAATCGATCTGAATTGATCTTTGTTTTTCCCCCTGTTCTATTCGGGTGTGGCTTGTATTGGGGGACCCCCCAAAATTGGGTGTGTTTTCATGTTGGTTCCTTTTTGAAATCCAACCAAAGCGGGGAACCCTCGAACACTCCAGGGTGGTGTTCCGTTTGATCTCACTTTTCTATTGGGTACCTTCCTCATTCTTTCCAGGGATCCTTCTTTCTAGAAAACCTCCGGAAACCCAGGGAACGCGGATCCGGTTTTTGGAAAGAACGATGGTTGAAAAGAATGGAAAAGGACTCAACCCCTCGAACTTTAATGAAACCACCTACCCTCCAAAAAGAGGAGCCCGTTTTCCGAGAGGCATCGGGCAGCTTCTCGGCCCGGGACGTCGGCATCGAGGGCTTTCTGGGCTCGCGCCTGGGTCCGGAAGGGGTTCTTCCTTCTGGCTATTTGAGAACGGATCTTTGGACGTTAACTTTTTGGTTGAAGCAGGTCGGAAGAATTCGCCCACAAAGAGAGTGAGACACTTTTTGCAGGGTCAACGGCAACCAAGCCACGGAGATGTTTGTCCACATCTCCACTACTCGCAGCTTTGGCCGATTCGTGCAACATGTGGCCAGTCTTAGGGCCGCGCAAGTGATCACGCAGGTTGCCACAGCAGCGCACGAGCGAAAAAAGAAGATGAGGAATCGCCGCGATAGCATGTTTGAGACAGGGATTTACCAGTTCCACTGGTAAATGATGCCCACTCGCAAGGTGCTTTCAAGGCCACCTTTTCACGCCGTTTGATTTGTCCCTTTGCGGGGGTCCAAGAAAAGAGGGGTTCAAGCCACGTTATATAGGACAATTGGTTTGCTGAGGCATGCAGGCTTTGCAGCAGAGTTCCAAAAGTACCCTTTCGACTTTATCGTGCGGGAGCTAGATGCGGATCAGCCACTGAAGCTGACAAAGGAGTGCCAGCCACTTGGCTGAAGCTCGGGATCTCGAGCAAATTTGAACCTAAAGTCATGGGAAATGCCCTGTGGAAAATCAGTTTGACAGTATGACCCCACCCAAATTGCAATGGATTCGCTGAGTAGGACGCCTTGACCCCCATTTGCACTAGGACATGGCTGTCAGGCCAGGGGGTAAGGCAACTGGGGAGTCGCAAAGATGGTGTTCTATTGGCTGTCTTGTCAAGCCGAACTGCGAAGGGTAGCCTCACACACAAACACACAGACAAAGACAGACCGACAGACCGACAGACCGACAGACCGACAGACCGACAGACCGACAGACCGACAGACCGACAGACCGACAGACCGACAGACCGACAGACCGACAGACCGACAGACAGAGACAGACAGAGACAGACACACAAACACACAGACAAAGACAGGCCGACAGACCAACAGACCAACAGACAGAGACAGACAGAGACAGACAGAGACAGACAGAGAAAGACAGACACAGACACAGACAGAGACAGACAGAGACAGACGGAGACGGACGGAGACAGACGGAGACAGACGGAGACAGACAGACAGACAGAGACAGACAGAGACAGACACAGGCAGAGACAGACAGACACAGACAGACACAGACAGACACACAGACACACGGACAAACAGCCACAGACACACAGACACACAGACACACAGACGACAGAGACAGACAGAGACAGACACACAGACAGACACACAGAGACACGGAGACACGGAGACACAGACAGACACACAGACACACAGACACACAGACACACAGACACACGGACAGACAGCCACAGACAGCCACAGACACACAGACACACAGACACACAGACGACAGAGACAGACAGAGACAGACAGACAGACAGACAGACAGACAGACAGACAGACAGACACAGACAGACAGAGACAGAGAGAGACAGAGACAGAGACAGAGAGAGACAGAGACAGACACAGACAGAGACAGACAGAGACAGACAGAGACAGACAGAGACAGACAGAGACAGACAGAGACAGACAGAGACAGACAGAGACAGACAGAGACAGACAGAGGCAGACGGAGACAGACGGAGACAGACGGAGACAGACAGACAGAGACAGACAGAGACAGACAGAGACAGACAGAGACAGACAGACAGAGACAGACAGAGATAGACAGAGACAGAGACAGAGACAGAGACAGAGACAGAGACAGAGACAGAGACAGAGACAGAGACAGAGACAGAGACAGAGACAGAGACAGAGACAGAGACAGAGACAGAGACAGAGACAGAGACAGACAGACAGACACGCCAGAAAGACACGCAGACAGACACACAGAGACGCACCCACATACCCACAAACACACACCGCACACACACACACACGCACACACCCACACACGCACACACGCACACTCTAACACACATACACACACACACAAACACAAACACAAACACAAACACAAACACAAACACAAACACAAACACAAACACAAACACAAACACAAACACAAACACAAACACAAACACAAACACAAACACAAACACAAACACAAACACAAACACAAACACAAACACAAACACAAACACAAACACAAACACAAACACAAACACAAACACACCACACACCATACACCATACACCATACACCATACACCATACACCACACAGAAAAACAACACACACAGAACACACACATATACTCAAAGATACACACACACAGACACACGCACACACACTCACAGAAACGCGCACAAACAAAGTTACACACACACACACGCAAACACTCACACTCAGAGTCAGACTCAAACGCACCCGCGCACATCCCTCAGTGGCTTGCTGAGGCCGTCCGCGCTGTGCGACTTTGCCCAGTCCTGCCATGAGGAATCGCACGTGTGGTTCACCTTGGTGAAGACAATGCAGACCACGCCAGAAGCTCTGGCAAAAGTTGCGGCCTGCTCCTGGGCCGAAACACTAAACCGGATTTCACCGACAAAGCTTCGCACTGTGGGCGTGGCCATGGCATGGGCGTTTGTAGCTCTACTAGGTTGAGCCTTGGTGCGGGCTCGAAGTTCCAGGGAGTGGTCAGCCCATGCGCATTCAGCAGCGTTTGTCAGTGCACGCTACGTTGCACATCCTGGATGCTAAGTGAATGTAGCTCTTGCAGCCGACGCGCCCACGGACGTCATCCAAGGTTTCAAGTTACCTGTCAAGGCCTTCAGCTTTTGCGGCCTCAAGGACCAGGGCAATGCAAACACGGCTGCGCAGCATTCCAGCCGATGTAAATGATGGCGCTATTGTTGTCCCTTCCGTTGCCGCGTCGATGACGCGCGGCACACGTGGGCAGCGTTTTTTCGTTGCAATCAAGGATTTATTTATTATACAAAAAGGGAACTGCATCATGTCCGCGTAGGCAATTTAGCTAGGGGGCATAGGCGCGCGGAGGCATCGCGTAGGCATTTCGCGCACATCCTTGTATTTTTCTTGCGTAGGTGCGCGCGTAGGCACTTGATGGAGTTGTTATGTATTGTCTGAAGCTTTATGTTTTACACTGCGTATGGATGGGCATGGGTTTGGCTGACTTGTTGCAGACACAATGAGAAAAGGGTTCTTGAACCAACATGGCTAAGAGTTGTCAAAGCGGTTGGCGGACATGAATCCCCCCCAGATATGTCCATCAACTGGGTTCCCTAGTAAAACGAACGCCCATATAATGGCGGCTGTCCACTGTTCAAATTTGAGCAGCGTTTTTTGATCAAATGAAAGAGTCTATACAAAAAGGGAACTGCATGTACTTTGCGGAGGCAATCCTGGTTG